CTTCTGGGCAGACACGGAAAGTGCCATAGAGATCGACCTGAGAATGCCAGAAACCAAGAAAGAACTTCAACAGTTTATAGAAGATCCCACCGCCTATTTCATTGGCGCCTTGAAGCGAAGGGCCATTGAAGTGAATGAAAAGAAGCTCAGCATTGAAGACCAAAAGAAATTCGAAGTCGCAAAAGGCATAGAGGTGAAGAACTACATTGCCGCGAGAGCTTTTGAGGCTCTACCGCCAGAACTGCGACCTCCAAAAGAAAAGGCAATAAACATGAGATGGCTGCTCACTTGGAAGGTGCAAGATGATGGCACTCACAAGGCGAAGGCACGAGCCATCTTGTTGGGTTACCAAGACCCATCATATGAAGACAGGGAGACAACCTCCCCAGTGATGACACGCCAATCGAGGCAATTCCTATTTGCAGCAGCAGGACGATTTGGCTGGGGCGTGAAGAGGGGAGATGTCACCGGCGCTTTTCTCCAGGGACGGACATATCCCCAGGAACTATACTGCGTACCAGTCAAAGAAATATGCGCTGCAATGAACATACCCGAAGGCAGTATCACCCACGTGAAGCGGGGGTGTTATGGCTTAGTTGATGCACCACTGGAATGGTACAGAACGATTAGCGACCTGCTGAACACACTGGGCCTAGTCAAATCATGGGCTGATCCATGCACGTGGCTCTGGAAGCCAAATGGTGTTTTGACCGGGATGATCTCTGGCCATGTTGACGACTTTCTCTTCGCTGGACCACCCGAGAACAAAGAGTGGCAGATGCTTGAAGAGAAGATCCGAAACCACTTCAAGTGGACAGATTGGGAAACAGGCAAATTCACCCAGTGTGGAGTGCTTGTGGAGGCGCAACCTGATGGCTCTTACCACTTGAGTCAAACCAAATATGTAGAGAAGATACCAGAAATCTTTTTAAATGCTTCCCGCCGAAAGGCCAAGGGAGAGTTGACGACAGACAAAGAGAAGTCGCAACTCCGAGCCACACTCGGTGCACTCAGTTGGTATGCCCAACAAACTGCCCCTCACCTGTCCGCTGAGGTCGGATTACTCCTATCCGAAGTCAGTCAAAGCACAGTTGAAACGATACACAAAACTAACAAACTGGTGTACTTTGCTAAGGCCCACAAGGATCATGTGATGATCATTCATGCCATTCCCAAACATGTTCCTGTTGGAATGTTTACTTGGTGTGACGCCGCTGGACAGAACCGACAGGACGGCAGCAGTACACAAGGAATTTTTGTTGGACTGGGACCTTTGACTTAACTTCAGGGAGAAGTTGAAAAAGTCATACCTATTGCTTGGCATTCAAACAAAATTGATCGTCAATGCCGAAGTCCAGGTGCAGCCGAAGGTAGAGCTGCAGTAGCAGGTGAGGACTACATGTATCATGCTAGATTCCAATGGAGTGAAATGCTCAACCAGGACGTGAACATTTTTGACATTGACTCCGTAGTAAGGACCACTCCAGGATGCCTCATCTCCGATAGCAGAAACGTATACGACAAACTCCAGACCACTGAACTGAGTATCAAAGGTGCTGAGAAGAAAGTTGACCTTGAATTGTTATGTCTGAAACACTCACAGCGTGAAACAGGTGTTATTCTCCGATGGGTACACAGCGAGGCACAGTTAGGAAACGGCCTGACTAAGGGACATGCCAAGGAATTACACCATTACTTCACCTTGGGCTATAAATGGAGACTGGTGACGGACGAGAACATGATGTCAGCAAGAAAGCGGCGACAGCAGGGACTTGAAGCCCTACAGCAACCGCATGAACTACAACAGCAAAACAAACAAATGTGACCATTTTCGTTTCTGGGGTTCTTGGCCCCTTCTCTCTTTTCTTTTCCTTTTTGTTTCGTCTTCGTTTCGCTTCTTGTGTGTGGTTGTGTTGGACAAATGAAAGTCGGAAAGATGAGGAGCAGGTAGCGGGGATGCAAGTGAAACCACTTGTGCTCATAAAGGCATCAGCGATGCTTCATATCGCAGTTGTGCAGGGTTCGAGGAAAGAAGGGCAGCCGATTCATTTGACACCGCTTTGCCGTGTCTCACATCCTTTTTGCCATATCCTCAGTGCACGCTCTTGGGCGACCATCGCTACTTCGGACCATCCCTCTTGGATATATATATATAGAAGGCACAGGTAGCATGTGTGCTCTTTGAATTGTCAAATTTGAAGGTTTCATGGTCAACCTTCGACCTAATCCCTCTTCCCAGCAACTATCGCTTGACATCGCTTGACCATGGGAGGATCACTCCTGCCCAACTGTCCCACTGAGACCCTTCAGCCGTAGCCGCTAGCCCGACAGGAAACTGAGAGTTATTGAAACGCGACGGTTCACACCTTGGCCAAGAGGTCATCGGAGTCTTTCAGCATCCCACCAGGAAAGCCGATGTACTTCCTCAACGGGAGGTGGGACAGCAAATTCCAGCTACAAACTGCATTTCTCTTTAATGTGGAGAAAAGATGAGAAAAGTAGGTGGTGAGATGCTAACAGCATGAAAGTGAAAATTGCATAAAATTGCAAAATTGGGGGAGCTAAAGCATCCCCTACATGAAACAATGCTACGTCCTACTCTCAGGCGATGAGTAAGCCATGACATGCCATCACAGCCATGCAATGAGCTACTTCTCTGGTGGAAGTAAATCCAACAATACGTGCTTACTTGCCATGCCATAGCTATGTGACCCTCACTAGTAAATATTGATTTGACACCAAGCCTCACAACAATGTGATTCATCATGATTCATCCATATTCATCCTGAATTAATTAATCTGAATCAACAAATCGACATCTCAAGCCAAGTCAAAAACCATCTGGAGCTAAGTTCCAAGTCCATCGCACGACCGCATCCGACCGGAAACCCGACCGCACCCACCCGGGTGGGTGCGCCCCGTCGGAAGCCCACTCGTCTGTCTAGTACGTAGATTCCTTGCTCGGCCAAGAAACTGTCGGTCCACGGGCACCGAGGTCAAGGTCCAAACTTGTGTCTTGAAGACCTGGCAACTTCCCGCACTCCACGCCGCTTCCCCGCGCTTTCCCGCGCCCCGGGGGAGAACCGCATGCGCGTTGGTTGGGCGGAACGGCCGCCACGGTGCGGAACGATGGTTGGGCGCTCGGTTCAGGGTGACGAGAGGAGTGATACGACCAGGGTCTCCCTGGTTTTCGATACACCCCAAAGGGGCGACCGAGCGGATGATCGGATTGCTATCCTTGTTTTTTCTCCTTTGTAAGACTGTAGATCACTGTATAAATGTATAAACGTCAATGTTAACGAGTCATGATAATTTAAGAGTTGGGTTGGTCATCTCTTGTGCCGAAACACCAGGGCGCAGCGGGTTGTGGTTGCAGCGAAACTCAGCAGCGGCCAAGCTGGTCACCAGCGGATGAAAGACCTAAAGCCTAGCCCCAGGAAAACTGGTTCTGTACATAACTGAGATTGAGTGGGAAACTCCTGGATGACTGGATGACTCTGATTCTTCGGACCAATGGGCCATCACAAAACATTCCATTGGATCCTAACACCATGAACTCAGTTCTGTTTCAGATAACAATTCCTTTCGTCTCTGAAAATCCATTGTTCCAAAAATCGGGGATTTGGGGACGCTGAAGTTTACAGAGAAAAGGTTCCGCGCTGGTTTCATGCAAGTTTTGTGTTTGTCTTTCCTTTTTTTGACTTTTTACACATGCGTATTTATAGGAAACCAATTCCCTCTATCAAACTGGACCTTATTCTTGTTTACTTCAAACCATGTCAAAAAAAAATAATGAAGAATTCAATAAAATTAAAATACTCTGCATTCTCTAATATGATCTTTGAGTGTCAACAAAAACACACAAAGCCACCGGTGTTTTTATTCGTCCCTTCGTACGGCGCGCCGTGCGCACCTCGACGCTGGAGCTCTCGATGTCCACCTCGAATTCCTCCTTGTTCCATTTCAGCTTAATGGTTTGCCTTGGATTTTTGTTCGCTCATATTCGCGCCACTGGAAATGACGCTCATGACAATTTTTGTTTAATACCGTTTGTTATATGTGAACGTCATTCTTTTGCGAGCCCGAGGCCAAGAAAGAGGAGTCTAGCTTGATCTCTATAGTAACTATAGAAATTATTTAGTATTCTTTAGTTATATGTGCGGGTCACATGGTCTAGGACATTCGGACGGCTAGGGTTGGTACTGTAGAAACATATAGAAATATCTTCTGACAATCTACCCGCCCTTCTGAGCTTCAAAAGACAGGGAACCTGGCAGACGTGCAGCAAGGATGCTGCCACTCTTATCCCTCCCTCTCTCTCTCTCCGCTACAGCCAAAACCTGAGCAACAAATGGCCCTTGCCAGCTCAATTGCTCCAGTTTAGAAAAATACGGAACTGATTCCCTAGACCATGCACCAAGACAGGCCAAGCTGCGCCATGTTGCACAAGGCTCCGCAAAGCGCAAGAGCTTCGTTTGATGCACGATGTGAAACTCTGCACGATGTCAAGGCTGTGTACTTGGTTGGCATGGCTGGATGGGTTCAGATCATGCACGGATGCCAAACACCCTTGCTGGTAGTATAGGCCCATCTTGCATGTGGCTCGACTGGCTGATCGACTGTGACTGCACAAAACCTGCGAGCGACGCACGGTCTCCTAAAAGGTTTGGGAGTTGGTTTGGATCTGATCTGGCAAAGGTCCTCGAAAAAGAGCCTAATCACTGTAAATAAATAATTGGCCGATATATAGCTGCTAGCAGTCTTTCGATTCCCAAGCAAGGAGGGTCACCAGTACTCCCGCTGGATTGAAGTTATAGTCTTAAACTCAAGCTCTTTCAGAATTTTGTCTCGAAAAGTGACATGAAACCGCAATGAAACCTGAAACTGTTTATGTTCTGGTTCCGGTAGGCTAGGCCTTTAGGCCTCAAATGCGCGCTGGCCACTTCTTTGAGTCATTGCAGCGCCAAAAACCGCCCCCACCTACTAGCCAAGTCGTGCACATGACCAGGAGGTCGACCGGCTTCGGCATGGGCCACCCCTGGTGGGGCGGAACTCGTCGGAGCACACTCGACCCGACGCTTTCGATGGGGGAGTGTAACACGGTCGCAATGGAAAAGGCCACGGTTTTGGGTCCAAATCGATGGTGAATGGGAAAAGAAACAGTACAATTTGATATCATTTGATCGTAGGAACTTCAACTCATGGTCTGTCGTTTGGTCCAATCCCGATCAAATCAAAGGGTTAAGATGGCCGAACCCCTAATAAGACAGGAGATTAGCAAAGTTCCATTTCTATGGAAAAAGTTCATTTTTGTTGAAAAAATTCAACCAAACATAGAGAGTTCCAAAAAAAGTTCAATCAAACCTAGAAGGGTTGGAAAAAAGTTCAAGCAAACCTAGAACAGTCCCAAAAAAGTTCAAGCAAACCTAGAAGGGTTCAAAAAAAGTTCAAGCAAACCTAGAAGGGTTTTTAAAAAGTTCAAGCAAACCTAGAAGGGTTAAAAAAAAAATCAAGCAAGCCTAGAAGGGTTTAAAAAAAAAATCAAGCAAACCTAGAAGGGTCCAAAAAAAGTTCAAGCAAACCTAGAAGGGTTCCAAAAAAGTTCAAGCAAACCTAGAAGGGTTCAAAAAAAATTCACGCAAACCTAGAAGGGTTCAAAAAAAATCAAGCAAACCTAGAAGGATTCCAAAAGTTACAGCAAACCTAGAAGGGTTAAAAAGAGTTCAAGCAAACCTAGAAGGGTTCCAAAAAAGCTCAGGCAAACCTAGAAGGGTTTAAAAAGTCAATCAAACCTAGACGGGTTCCAAAAGAAGTTCAAGCAAACCTAGAAGGGTTATCCAAAAAAATGTTCAAGCAAACCTAGAAGGGTTCCAAAACAGATCGAAGCACGCCTGGAAGGGCTTTAGAAAAGTTCAAGCAAACCTAGAAGGGTTCAAAAAGTTCAAGCAAACCTAGAAGGGTTCCAAAAAAGTTCAATCAAACCTAAGACGGTTAAAAAGAGTTCAAGCAAACCTAGAAGGGTTCCAAAAAAGCTCAGACAAACCTAGAAGGGTTATTTAAAAAATGTTCAAGCAAACCTAGAAGGGTTCAAAAAAGGTTCAATCAAACCTACAGTAAAAGGGTTTTAAAAATCAAACAAACCTAGAAGGAATCCAAAAAAGGTACAGCAAACCTAGAAGGGCTCAAAAAAAATCAAACAAATCTAGAAGGGTTGAAGAGTTTAAGCAAACCTAGACTTCTATACTAAAATTCATCTAAATTTTAAACTAAACTGACGGACGGACGGACGGAAGGAAGGAAGGAAGAAAGGAAGGACGGAGGGAAGGAAGGAGGGGAACTGCAGGCAGGGGAGCTTGAGGAAGGTAACTGGAGGAAGGGAACTGGAGGGAAGGGAACTGGAGGCAGGCAGGTGGAGGAAGGGAACTGGAGGCAAGGAACTGGAGGAAGAGAGCTGGAGGAAGGGAACTGGAGGCAGGGAGCTGGAGGAAGGGAACTGGAGGCAGGGAACTGGGGGAAGGAACTGCAGCTGGGATCTGGGCAGGGAGGAAGGGAAACTGGAGGAAGGGAGCTGGAGGAAGGCTGGAGGAAGAGAGCTGGAGGAAGGGAACTGGAAGGCAGGGAGCTGGAGGAAGGGAACTGGAGGCAGGGAACTGGAGGAAGGGAACTGCAGGCCGGGATCTGGAGAAGGAACTGGAGGCAGGGAGCTGGAGGAAGGGAACTGGAGGAAGGGAACTGGGGAAACTGTTGCCGGAGATGGGGGTAGCGGGTGGTGGGTAGTAGGCAGGGAACTGGACGATGAGTTCGGGCAAGGGAACTTGAGGAAGGGAACTGGCGGAAGGGAAATCGAATTCCTGCTGCTGCACTGTGCGTGCGCTGCCTGACCGTGCGAGGTGTGAAAAAAATGTTGCACCAGTGTTTCTGCGAGAACTCTCGAAGTACCAGAAGTTGGGTCCAAGCTGCCTCGATCTTTGTCCAAAATTTTGGGGCAAATTTGGGCGAGTTTTGGCCGAGGAAACGGCGAGGGTTTGGCGACACTTTAGCGAGACTTTAGCAAGACTTTGGCGACACTTTCGCGAGCTTTGGTCGAACTTTTGTTGAGCTTTCCTCACGCTACTTCTGCGCGAACTGTCGAGGTACAAAAAGTTGGATCAAAACTGCCTCGGTCTTTGTCCAAAAATGTTTGGGTAGATTTAGGCGAATTTTGGCCGAGGAAACGGCGAGACTTTAGCGAGGGTTTGGCGAGGGTTTGGCTGAGGGTTTGATGACTCAGCTTGCCGCACCTCTTATTAGGTCAACTGCTTTGTACACTTGCAAAACTATGGCTGTAAACAAAACGCTGCCCGATTTTTTCACATGTTTAAGACTTAGGGTTGAAGTCGGGAACTACACTACACCTGTCCGCCTGGCAGCGCAAGCAAGACTATGCCCGCGCCGTCAGCTAGTCAACACCAGTGAAGTGGTGGAAGGTGGAATCAAACGACAGGAGGCAGCTGGAGGCAGGGAACTGGAGGAAGAAAACTGGAGGAAGGGAAATGGAGGTAGGGACCTCTCAAGGACGGGACCTGGAGGAAGGGAACTGGAAGCAGGGAAGGAGGCAGGGAACTGGAGGAAAGGAACTGGAGGCAGGGAACTGGAGGAAGAGAACTGGAGGCAGGGAACTGGAAGAAGGAGGATGAAAACTGGAGGCAAGGAGCTGGAGGAAAGAAACTGGCGGCAGGGAACTGGAGGGAGGTATCTGGCGGAAGGGAGATCGAAGTCAAAAGTGTGGAGGTTATGGCCTTCTTTCCTGAAAGTTTGAGCTATTCGCGCGTCTCTTCAAAATAAAAAACAAAAACAAGGTCCAGGTGCGATTGTTGCCTTCTTCTTTCTTGAAAGCAGTTGTAGTCGCATCCATTCTGTGGCATTGTTTTGGTCGAAGCTCTGTGAGAGTCCGTGACTATGTGATTTCGCTGAGCCATGTGGTTGATCACCACTCTAAGTATTCTTGATTTTTGCAAAAATCTGGAGATTGGAAGGTTTGAGCTATTTGCGCCTCTCTTCAAAATTTAAAAACCAAAATCAAGGTCCAGGTGCGAGCGTTGCCAGTTTTCTTTATTGAACACAGTTGTAATTGTATCCATTCTGTGGCGTTGTCTTGGTGGAAGCGGTGTCTGTGAGAGCCTGCGACAACGACTATGTGGTTTCGCTGAGCCATGCGGTTGATCACCACGCTAAGCTTTCTTGATTTTTGCAAAAATCTGGAAATTGTGGCCTTCTTTCTCGAAGGTTTGGGCTAATTGCGCCTCTCTTCAAAAAAATCAAGGTCCAGGTGCGATTGTTGCCTTCTATGTTTTGCTGATTGTTTTTCAACAATCTTTGTTTTGCCGAACTTTTTCCGGCCATCTATGTTTGGCTGAACCTTTTTAGAAACTTCTATGTCTTGCTGAACTTTGTTAAAGCCCTTCTATATTGGCTGACCTGTCTTTAAACCTTCTATGGTTCGCTCAACTTTTTGAACTCTTCTATGTTTGGCTGAACTTTTATTGAACCTTCTATGTTTTGCTGAACTTTCTTTTAACCCTTCTATGTTTGGCTGAATTTTCCTTTGAACCTTCTATGTTTTGCTCAACTTTTGTTTAACCCTTCTATGTTTGGCTGAACTTTTTTTGAACCTTCTATGTTTCGCTGAACTTTTTTTTAACCCTTCTATGTTTGGCTGAACTCTTTTTTGAACTTTCTATGTTTTGCTGAACTTTTTTTTAGCCCTTCTATGTTTGGCTGAACTTTTTTTTGAGCCTTCTATGTTTTGCTGAACCTTTTTTTAACCCTTCTATGTTTGGCTGAACAATTTTTTGAAGAGGCGAGGTTTGGGCTATGTTTGGACAACACAAAGTTGAACTTTTTGGCGAGACTTTGATGAACTTTAACACCCTCCTGTCTTATAAGGGTTCGGCCGTCTTAATCAAAGGGCATGTTGGCTACCTCTTTGGCGCTTCAAACAATCCTTCTTTTGCACCTGCACGCTGCTGGCTACTCACCGTTCTTCGGCAAAGAGGGAAGTGATGCATCAGGGCCTGGCAGGGAATCGGCAAATGCTATAGAGGATCTGGCCGACATCGAAATCAGCAAATGAAAGGCCCGTTCAATAATTTGCAAACAAACATGGTTTTGTTGCAAATGCACTTAGGCCATTCATCAGTTCTCTCATTATATATATATATACACAGTGTATATATATACACAGTATGAAAAGCGCGGGCGCAGGCTTTTGCAAAATGCGGCTTGGGCCTAAAGTGGCCGGTAGTGCATGGTTCTCCTACATGCTTGAATGACTGTTCGTTCGTGTCTTGTATTCTGACACTCCTCCATCACTCAAGCATCCTGTACAAATCCGGATCGGTTGCCCGGTTGTGAAATGTGGGCAACTTGCTGCAAAATGCAGAACTCGTCCTGAAGGCGTCATCCGTAGCTTGTGCAGCTGCTCTTCAAGTTTCGAACTTCGTTTCTCTGCCAGCTCTCTTTCTTGAAGGAATTCGTTCAGGTGTCCCTTCATCATCTCGATCTTCTGCTCGAGTTCTTCTATGTATGTCTCCCTCAAGAAGAGCTCGTGTGCAGCTTGCTCAAGCTCACGCTCAAGTCGAGCGTTTGGCACTGACACTTGGGTCTCCTGATCGACCCGCTTCACCTTCAAACTCAGGTCAATCCCTTGGACCCATGCCATGGCCTTCTTGATCTCCCGGATGAAGGCCTTCGTGCCATCTAGGAAGTCATGGACGTAGTTCCAAAGCCATCTGGTCAGGCTCAAGGCCCCAATGCATGCCAAAATGCACATCATCATCCACACCCAACTTGTCTCTTCATTCTCCTTCGCTTCAGTTGGGGTGCTTCCCACTTTGTTGATCGTGACTAGCAGCATCAGAAGCCCGATCCGTAGATCTTTGCTTTTCCCAAATTTCTTCATTCCTTGCTTCATCTTGTGCTGCTCCTCGATCTCCCGGAACTCCTGCTCACCTACTCGGTCACCCACGGCGTCGACCATGTGCAGCATGAATTGCAGACCTCTCAACCTCTTCTTCGGTAGGTTCTTGGTGCCAATGTCGGCGCTGTTGAGGTCTGTCGGGATTGCTGCCACTGTCAGGACTTTCTCTCGCTCTTTCTGCTGTATCCACAGCATTGAAGCATCCAAGTGCCTGACTCTGCCGACGCCTTGCCGCTGGGTCATCCCTCTGGCTGCTGAGCTGTCCGACCTTGCTTTCATTTGGCACTCCTCTCCTGTGATCATGTTCCACAGGTGCCTCACTAGCATGCCTTCTGAGCATCCTGCCACCAATGCCATGAATTCGCTTTCTCCTGATGAGAGAGCGATGGCTTTCTGGCTTCTGACCTTGCTGTCAATGAGGTTGCCGTCGATGAAGATCTGCATGGACGTCGTTGATTTGCGGTCGTGCTTGTTTCCTGCATGGTCTGAGTCGGTGACCACCTCCACAAGGTGTTTTGATGCTTCTTCCACCTCCTCAATCTCTCGAAAGTCCATCATGGACTGGCCTTTCTTTCTCTCCTCAAGCCTCACTCCATACCCACCTGTCCCAAAGAGATAGGAGCAGGTGTGCCAGGCATTCTTCAGGGCATTCTTTGTGGGCTTCGCCATGTAGCGTGCTAGGCACTGAATGGCGTACTGTGCATCAGGTCGTTCTCCAGCCATATACATGAGCCGCCCCGCGATGCTTCTGTACTTTGTGATCTCTGCTCCTTCCAACTCTGCAGAGTCATCCTTCTTCGTGAAGTTTGCATCTAAGGGGGTCTTTCTGTAGAACCTGGAGTAGATGTCGACCTCCTTTTCGAAGCTGTCATATTGCTTCCTGTCGCACCTTATGTCACAGTGCCTCATGCCCAGATTGAACTGCCTCTTCAGATAGAAGAATTTGTCACCTTGTCGGAATGGCCCTTTTTCCTCCACATTCCACTTCTTCTCCTCCTTGAAGTATTGGATCAACTCCCTCACCTTGTCTTCTCGTCCAACCATGAAGACATCATCCACATGGACGGTGAGGTACAGGAGGTCTTTCACCAACATCAGCGTGGGCTGCATCAAATCTTGCTGCATGCCGAAGTCCTTGCATGCGGATGCAAACAGGCCAAACCATTGTGATGCAGCTGTCCTTTGACCTGGAAGGCATCTGAGCAGTTTGTAGATGTGCTCCTCAATCTGGGTGTAGGCCTTCTCTGTGGTCGGTTGCGCTGCCATCAGGAAGGCATCTTTGATGTCCAGAGTGACTACCACGAAGTCGCTCCTCACGTTCATCAAGTAGTGCATCAACATCTTCGGCAGCATCATCATCGATGTGGGAGCGAAAGTAGCCTCCAGATCTATGCTGTTCTTGAACTGTCTGGCTACTAGTCGTGCTCGACTCCTCCCTTCTCCAGACGGTGTTTCCAGCACATCACCATCTTTGTGCTGATGATGTAGCCATCCTCCTGTTCAACTTCGGTCTTCTGCGCTTCCACCATTGCAGGCATGTCTAGCATCCTCTGGATCTCCAGGTTTCGAGCATCTTTGTCAAGCCTCTCCAGTTCTTCTTCACTGACCTCTGGAGGATCGTCTCCTTCATCTCCTCCATATGCCATCATCTGCTCTTCGATCACATCTTCTGGCATCAGTTCCACATCCACATCTTCATCTCCATGTGGTTCCACTCCGATCGCCCCTACTCCTGCATAGTGCGGTGGATACAGGTGTTCTGTATTGTGGGATGGCGACATTCTTGGAGATCCTTCTGGCTCAGTCCTCATCCTGTCTCCTTCTTCTGGAGATCCTCCTTCAGGTCGGCTCCTCTTCTCCTCGCTCTCGGCTGCTCCTCCTGATTGCCTCTTCTCTGCTTGTTTCCTTGGTGAGTCAGTTGCATCTACCTTCTTGTTTTCTCGTCCTCCTTCGCTCTTCTCCTCCTCAGTCAACTGTCTCTTCACTGCAGCCTTTGTAGGTGTCTGTGGTGCTTCACTTGCTCCCGGTCCAGCCACAGTGAGGGTAATTCCTGGAGTCATCGGTTGGCATCCTGGGGCTGGAGTGACAACACCTGTTGCTACATCTTGTGCGATGGCTGTCATCTCCTCTTCATTCACCTCCATCTCAAGTGTGGGTTGACGGTATCTCTGTGCTTTGCCGGCGTGCTTCATCAGAATCCCTTGTGCAAAGTAACACCAGGGTAGCCCTTTAGCCGTGAAGATCTCCGGGCCGTTGAAGCTATCTTCAGGCGACAGTCTTCTAATTGTCCTTGACTCATAGGCTCCTGATGTTGACAGGAGTACATGGTTGTCATTCCATGGGCGCTTGGTCACCCATATGCCTTTCTCGAAGACTGCACTGCCTTTGTTCCTGACTGGCCTCTTGAAAAGCACGCTCTCACCGAACAACGCCAGTTTTCCTCTGTAAGGGTGCCCAGTTGCCAACTCGAAGCTTGTCCGGTTGGTGCCTTCTAGGACTCGGAACCGGTTGACCAAGAAGGAGGCATGCTTGAACGACCATGGATAGATATCAAAATCTCCTTCGATGTTGATCCGGGCTCTGTCCTCGGCAAATCAGCGCAAGCAATTTGCCATCTTCCTGATCGTCCACTTGGCCGTTTGATGCATGTTGTCCAGCTCCGGTCAGTCGAATTTCTGTCTTCATGCCCAACACGTTCCTGACCTGCTGCACGGATCTGAGGATTTGCCTGGTTGCTCGTTCACTATCAGCCTGTACAATGCATGCATCGCGAGCAGAGTTTTCCAGTGCAAATCTGACAATCTCCTCGGTGATGGTCTTTAGGCTTGCACTTCCTTTGCTTGGCACCGGAACTGCATGGATTGCCTTTGTTTCTGAACTGGTCATTACCAGCACCGTCCCATGCTGGTCTTGCCTTTCCATGACCTTGTCCTGCACTGGCTTCTCTGAGCGATCCTCCTCGCCAGTGTACGTGTAGCAGAAGTCAATCTGGATGATGTTCTTTCCAATGTCTTCTTTGCTGTCTGACTTCTCACGCTTGTCCTCTTTTGAGCGACTTGCTACACATGCTTGGCACCATGATGCAAATGGCCAATGCGTCACGTTATGCAGTTCCTGCTCCGCCAAGCTTGGTAGTTTGGGTTGACCAAGCGTCACCGGTCTCCTCCTTTGCTCGTTGTAGAGCTTGTGAGCCACCGCCAGGTGCATCTGGTTCTCGAGGTTCACCTTGAAAGCCACCAGTCTCTCCAGTAGCTTCTTCTTACTTCCGGTGTAGGCCAACTGTCGTTCTTTGCAAGCCCTTCACTGTCATCCTTTCTGAGAACGTGACCTCATCTAGCTCCACCTCCTGTTGGCGCTCTGCCACCACCGCTTTCTCGATGTCGTGATGCATCTCTTGGGCCTCCAGCTCTTCAAGCTCCTCACCTTCTTCCTCTGACCACTCCAGATGTCCAAAGGCTCCTTCTGTCAAGGGGTATGGTGCTACCGGGACTTCACTGCCAGCTTCCCAGTAGTCTTTGAATTGTTCCGCTCAAAGTCCGCTGGGGCTCTGTTGCCAGACTGATCCTCCTGAATGCCTTTGGTCCCAGCAGGTTAAAGTCCTCTGTCTGCTCAAGCTGCTCCCATAGGCCATCTTTTCCTTTGACCAATGTCATTCTGGCCTTGTAGATCTTCTCGATGCTCCCTGCGGGATCCAACAATTGAGTCGCTACCGGGTCACTGTAAACTGCCACCCCGTTCGGCAACCGGTGCCATCCTGGAGTCATTTCAAGCTCCTTGACATACTTGCACAGGTAGCCTTGCAACACTTGGACCCTTGCAGCGTCTTCATCCTCCTCTGACCTCTTCTGCTCTTGACTTTCGCCAGCTTGAACTGCAAAGATCCTTGCTTCACACTGCAAAGAATTCCTCTCAGTGTTCAGAGGAATATCCACCGAGCGTCCCTCATGTCGAAGATGCAGTGCTCCTTGAACTCCACCCAATGACCATCCTCTCTTCAACAGCTTTCCTGCACATAGAATGGGGTGTTGCACGCTGCCAAGAACAAAGTCCTCGTAGATCTCAACAATCTTTCCTGTTCTGTCCTGCATTCTGATCTTGGCTCTCGTCATTCCGCTGTGTGGAATCTTCTTCCCCTGTGCATCCACCATCCTCAAGCTCCCATCTCCTTCAAGCTGCTCTCCAACTCCAGCGTAATCCTTTGGCAGGACTGAAATGTCTGCCCCGCTGTCCACAGTGATCAGGCAGCTTCCATCCTCATCGTGGTCTTGTCTTCTCACCATGTTCACACTCACCTCCTTCTCATCGATGTCCTGCACATCCATGGCCACAATAGCCACGTCTCTCGGCACCTCCACTGCAGGCTCATAGCATTCATGGTACTCGAACTCCTCAGCCTCATAGAACTCTTCCACCTCGCAATGCTTCGCTTCCACCATCCCCACTCTCCAGGGAAAGCTATCACTCTGCTCGCCCCTTGGTGTAGTGAGGTCAAAGATCTCAAGTGACGAAGCATCAGGTGGTGTTTGCAATCTTACCATCTTGACTGAGGCTGTTGCATTAGTGCTCCCGGCATTCCCTGTCGATGATGAGCTCGCTCCTCCTGGGTTCTGTTGCTCCTCAACCTGATTGACTCTTTTCCAGCACTCTTTGGTGAAGTGTCCCATGTTGCCACAGAGATGGCAGGCCCCACTCTTTGTGCCTTTTCCTCCTTTCTCTGATGGCTTTCCTTTCTTCGCCCAACTCCTGTCCCAGAAGCTCTTCCCTTTCTCTGCTCCTTTCCAAGCACCCTTGCCATCTTTTCCGCCGAACTTCCCTTTCTCCTTTCCTTTGTCTTGCCCTTTCCTTTCCCTTTCAGGCCCTTCTTGCCTTTGCCAACCTTCCCAACGTAGTCCACTTCCATTGGGGTCGCCTCATCACCGGTGGTCCTAGTGGGAGGCATCAGGGAGTTCGTCGAATCCCACTTCGTCGTCACCGCCTCAAGCTGGATGATCCTGTCCTTGAGCTGCTCGTAGGTGGTGGTGTCTGTGAGCCAAAGGTGTAGGTGTTGGCGGATCTGCAAAGGGCATGCCAACAACCACCTTGGCATCATCAGAGTACTTCTGGGTTGAGATGCGTTCATACTCCAAGACCAAAGCTTCGAACTGCGGGAGCTGTTCGGACACTGTCTTGCCCTCTGCAAACTGGATGCGGGATAGCTGGCTTAAGAGAGCTAGGGCTCTGGCTCTCGTAGCCGGCTGCATCTCCTTCAACAAGCTTTGCCAGGCTTCAAACCCATTTTCACTTTTGACGTGGCGGATCAGCTTCAATGGCCTCTGCCTCACATACGAAGTCAAAAGGCTGTAAAGCCTCACGGCCTTTGCCTTCGTCTCATCAGTCATGTCCTCGAAGTTGTAGTTGCCGTCCACATTGGCTCCTACCATGTCCATGCTGGCCGCCATTGAAGGGTCAAGCCCCTTCACATTGAGGAAACCAAACTTCCACTCCCCCCACATCTTCAACTCCGCATCTCTTCCTTCGGGCTTGAAGACATCTGGCGGCTTCAAATGCCTTGCCCAGCCTTGCACAGACTGGTTCAGCGCCAACCTCTCCAACGCTGCTGCAACCTGCCTCAAACTCTCCTCAGCCATCGATTTCCACCCGTAGACCTTGGGGATGAATGTCTTCGTCTCCACTGGTGCAAGGGGTGCAGGTGACCCAAATGACAATCCCGCGTAGCCAGGGATGTCCCAGAACCGCCAGTTGTACACTAGCTCGCTCAACTTTCACCTGTGTCGTCCCTCAGAGCCTCTATGCGCTCCACGAACTTCCACTTGGATGGTACCACAATGACCACTTCTTTCAACTCTGACTGGTCTTCTCTTCGTGCCACCACGATGGATGCTCTCACGATCTTCTCGCTCTTGATCCACTTGATCTTGCTCGGGTGCTCTTCCGTCTCCACCACCAAGGTGTGGATCCTCCTCGCACGAGCCTTGCAGGTCAAAGGCAGGACCGAGCTAGCTTGGTAGTATTGAACTTCCTGTGCAGTCGATGTCCCGACTCCTCCAGCTAGGCCTGCAAGTAGCAGAAGCTCGAGGATCCAAATTGCCGCAAAGGATGGGCTCTCCCTGGATCGGATCGTTCTCCTCCTCCTCGTAGAAGGTGACGTGGAGCGAAGGCTCTTCGTGGTGCTCGTAGTGACCGTAGGCGGCGGAGCCCCGGCTCTTTACGGCCAGGGCTCCGCTACCATGAAAAGCGCGGGCGCAGGCTTTTGCAAAATGCGGCTTGGGCCTAAAGTGGCCGGTAGTGCATGGTTCTCCTACATGCTTGAGTGACTGTTCGTTCGTGTCTTGTATTCTGACACAGTATATATATATATATATATCTTCCAGTCATTCCATGTATGGAAGGTAACAATTGTAATTTATATGCAATGACCCCTGAAACCACCCCAATGTAAATATACCATGCATGTAATAAATCCCTCCAAATAAAATAACACTGCGGTAAGAAAAGTCGTATCAGCTCTTCGCCTATCCCGTAGTTTGGTGACCCCGCTTTTAAAAGAACATCATCCATGGCCCGCCACAAGAGCTCCAAACATTTCATGGCCAGCACTCCAAAGGGGTGTTTCTTGGAGGGCAAGGGCGCCCATTTTCCACTCACCTGGGGTCTAAATTCCCACCCCCTTTGCATTTCTTGGGCCTGATTGTTTTTCCAAAAAATCCCTTGGTTCTTTTGCTCTATCAATCCCAAGGTTGGGGGCCACCTACAACCCCAACATCACCAAGTCAGCTGGGAGGAAAAGGGTTCTCTTATAAGCCGATGTCAGTCCACCTTCATATGTCCAGGTGTTGGGATGTGAAAATCACCGCTTGTTGAAACCACATCCACGTTGCAGAGACAGTCACAAACCACTACTACCCACAATTTGACTGTGCACTTTTTGAAAACTGATCACCTTGTGAAAATAAAAACAGCAGGGTTGCATGTGTAAGGATTTTGCAGGCAAATGCGACATCATGCGCCACTTACACCAGCCAAAAGTAGGCCGGTCACATCTGGAAGCATGTTTGGATTGGCCCGGCGCTGATCTCCAATCCATTCGAGGCTCCCAACGGTGCAAGGGAGTTTGTCTATCCTCCATGCCTGGCAAGGGCTGCGCTGCTGCAATACATCAAGGAGGGCAGTTACAAGTGACTGATGATCAACAGACGCGCGCTGGGATCATCAGGGTTGATAGCAGTCCTGGGAGGTCAAGTTTCGCGGAGGAATTTGATGCCGAAGGGACGTGGCACATTGGTTGGTCAAACTACAACTTTGTGCTGGCCGACGCACACAAAAGGAACCGCCCGCTGCAGAATCAGAAGCCTTTCAACACCACCAGTTCTGATCAAAGTGTGTTGCACCAAAGAAAGCCACGGCGCGGGTAGTGACGGTGGAAAAAGTTCTGAATGCATGAGCCTGCCACCTTGAGCGCATCAAGTCGCATAAGTTGCATTGTCGAAAACTGCGTGACTGACACCTGCCTGCCAGGAATTTGCGGTAACATGCTACGCCGAGATATTGAAGAAAATACAAGTCACATTTGATCATGAGGTTGGACGCCCCACATTGCATCCAAATCACTCTTCAGTTGAAAGGCAACCTCTGCATGACACTGCTGCGCGACAATGCTTGCGCGCGACAATACATATGGCTCCTCCCATCTTGCATGACGCGTGTATACCAGCCTTGTAAATCTGCATGTCAATCCACAAACCCCGACAGCAGCCGCCTGCTTGCAGAACATGGTGACACCTTTTCCGCCCCCCAAAAAACCGGGCGCCTAGCTTTTCGGTATCACTTCGCACCAACCCCCATGAAATGAGCACGGCCAAAAACATCGACACAGGTCCGGTGACAGAACGAAAGGTGAACCCTGCAACACAGGCCCAACGAGGGAAAGCTGCAGATATGCGGCCTAACGTGAAAACACCAAAAGAGCATAGCAAACAAGGTATAAAGGATGGTGGAAAGTCAATGACACAAAAGAGCTGAGGAGCAAGAAGAAGTAGATCATGTGGGGGTGACAATTCAACACATGTGTATATATTGTACATATATCACCTGATTTCGATTCGATTGATTTCGGATCTCCCCCTCGCCCACTCGCGTCATCTTGTGTCCTGAAACAGGACGCTCCCATTCACCGGGGCGAGGCGAAACCGCGCGGGCGAACCACACAACCACACCTGGCAGGACTCGCTTCGCCTGGCAAGGTCATGACGTGTAAGCCATGCAAGTACAATAGGACCGACCTGACTCTTCGCGAGTCGACTCCCTCAAAGGAACTCTACTGACTCCCGAGCCGCTTTGTTGGAACAGGTTCACCAAACTGTCCACCCGTTTGGTTTCGAAAAACAATTTATCCCGGCAAGACCCCAGACAGTGTGTGTGAGGTCTAGAGGTGTAGCAGCAGAAAGTCTAGAGATCTAGACGCATTGGGGCCATGGTGATGAAGGTGGAGATTGTGGTGATGGTGGCGGTGGTGGTGAGTGCAGTGTGGTGTGACTGTGACTGTGACTGTGACTGAGAGTGAGAGTGAGAGTGAGAGTGAGAGTGAGAGAGTGAGTGAGTGAGAGTGAGTAGGGTATGTGTTCAGGCTCACCGATTCCCATGTTTTCATGGCAACAAAACGAAGCAAAGCATGTTCGAAAGCGACCTTCTTTTTGCTTGGCCGCAAGGAGCTTTTTGGGCGATGAATCACCAGCCAAAGTGCATGAGTTACTCATCAGTCATACAGTCATACCACTCTAATTGCTCCAAAAGAACCCCTTTTGAAGGGTCCTTGCAAAATGGACTAAACCCATCCCCCCAAGGTCCTACCGCATCGAAGCGGATCGTCCGAGTCAAGCATCACAGTCCCATCCCGGACTGTCGGAGTATGAAGAACATGAATCCCATAACTTCCAATGGCCCAATGATTTGGAACGAATGTGACATATAATATAGATATACATATATATATAAATAATTGATGTATTGTAGCATTAGATAGCTCTAATACAAGCCCTAATATGCAGGTGTCCTGTCAAAACCGGGCACTTGTCTTTCTGCGCAACTCCTTCACCCAGCACTGACATTGAAATGCCCAGATCGACGTAAACCGTTGAAAAATGTTGAAAACCTGGTGCATCGGTGATGACGGTGCCCAACGTCTGACAGTTTCGCTGCCTGAGAGATTGTCTGTTTCATTGGTCGATAAGTTTTTAGTAGCGGGCCGCTAAACACATAATTACCTGAGAATCGTCGTAACTTGGGTATGTGTTTGTTCTCACATGTCCTCACCATCCAAGAGTGGTTTAATCACAATATATAAAACTGACACCACTCCCCAATCCAAGAGCTTCCACTGGTGTCCATTCACATCGCGTTCACCGCGCGCACCGCTCCTCGCATCGTCTCGCGACGCGCTGCATCAGCTCCACGAAGGCCTGGACCGGAGGGAAAGCCCGCATTGACACTGGAAGAGTTGCGCCCACCATGGATGGCTCATGTTCAGGGGGGTTCATTTGTCACTCTATAATATGCAACTGTTTCTAGTGAGGTAACTTATATTGATTCGTTGTGTTTTATATTGGTTGAGTATGATAAAACAAGTTTACTTTACATGAATATGTAACTCTGCTAGTCCCGTGAATGGTCTGGGGTATGATGCAGGTCATCTAAGTCATCTGAGCTTGTCTGCAGATCCGGGATCTGTGAGCATCCAGCGATGGTGAGGGGTAGTTGATCCAAACAATCCACGGAAGGAGATGCTTGCTTCCAATGGACCGCTTTTCGAACATAGGGTAGAAAACAAATCAACTATATAAATCAAAAAGGTACTTTGAGGTGCTTGGAGTGGGAAGATCGTCACTTGATATCACTTGGGATGTCCTGGGGTTGCTGCTGAACTCGCCAAACAAATGTGAAACATGGTTAACCACCATGGTTAACCACTACGACTGGCAAAGGTTCACATCAGCGGTTGTTTCTGAGATGATACAACCGCTTCTTCCAGTAGCTACACTCTCACGTTCCAGGGAAGTGGCAACAACGTCCCCTGTTCTTTACAGGAAAGTGGTCTTTCATCACGACTTCACGATGTCTTCGTCTCGAGGCTCCTCGGAGCGGACGCGCAACGCTCCTCCTAGCGGTTGCAACGCTAGGAGTGGGTTGTTTAGGGTGACTAGGGTGGCTATCAAAATAGGGAGACCTCCCAAAGACCCTTAAAGACCCCCTGTTTCAGAAGGGAAATAGACACAAACCCGTTGGTAGGAGGTCTCCCTCTTAAACCCAGAATGTGTGAAGAGTTCAGAGTGTTTAGAGGCCCATATTCACCGGCTGCCTTCTTCATCAAAGTGTGCCAGCTACTCTGTGTCCGCGACGTGTCCGGCATACGTCCGGACCATCTCCAAAAACATCACAAAGACTGACCTCCCTCATCTTGGTCCTTTACCTCACCTTTGTATGATGGACTTTGACTTTGACCGCGGGTAGACCCGTAGGGTATCATAATCCTTGGTTTTTCCAGGTAGACCTGTTCGTTGAGCTTGATGTTTGCAACCTTCGACTCGACCGGTCGATGCAACCTGTTGGGAGTTCGGAGTTCCACGGATCGATCAAAATGGGGTGGACGGAGGGACGGGCGGAAAGGGCGTTTTGGCATCCCCCCCAAAAAAGAGTCATGCCATGTGCCCGTACCTTTCAATGTAGTTGGTGTATGTTTGTGGAAAGGGACAGTTTGACGTGTCATGACCCGAGGGAAAACAGGTGACTTCCCTGGACCATCGGGTGTCTAATGACGAAGACCACGACTTCGTCATTCCCCGTAGATACCAACAACAAGTCCAGGACTCCGGACTGTTTACCCCTCCAGACAGGATGAAAACACCCTTTAAAAAAAGAACTGGTCCATTTCTACCAATGGCTCTACAGGCTTGAACACCCCTTTGACCATCCTACAAACCTGGGGTTTATAAACCTGCGACCTTTGTATCTTCAAAAACCATATAAGACCTGTTGGACGCTCCAAAATAACTTGGAAAATGGCACATGACCCTACCAAAAAAATACTCTCTCTCTCTATATATATATACCTGGGTCTACATTTTTTCTGCCTTTTCAATCAAAACTGTTTTTTCAAGCAAACGCCAACTATTTTGTACTGAAACACATTTTGCGTTGACATGTTTTCTATGGTAAGTCAAGATTTTGAAACGGCGACTTTTCCCGACCAAACGGCGACTTTCCCCGACCAAACGGCGACTTTTGCCAACTGCTAATTTGGCAACCTCTGTAAAAACATCGAAACGGCACTTTTGAAATGTTGACGGCAAGCGACTGAAATTTGTGCTGTTTCGCCAAACGGCAGAAAAAACACACCCGTGGAAGGTCCAGGTATATACACATTGTATATAATTATTATGGCAAAAACTTGTTACCCATGTTCCAAGCTCCAAACGGGTTGACTGCAGGCTATGACCTTGGATCCTCCTCCACATCGACTCTGAGGCCGGTCGAAAGCCCCGCTCGAAAGCCCCGCCTTCGCCGTCTCGCGCGGCCAAGGCCAAGGTTTCGGGGCCTCGGAGTCTGACGGCAGAGGCATGGCGTGTCCCCTTTCCGCAAAGCCCAAAAACAATAACCTGTAGAATCCTTGGATTTGTGGCAACAAGGACAGACCCAAAGCCATTGATTGAAGGTCTCCTGACTCAAATGCACATCCACATGACCCAAGTTCATCCTGAACCAACCAAGCCCGCTGGCCTCTTGGCGTGCATGTACGCTGTCGAGTCAAGCGCACGCAAGTGATCAAGCGACATCCTTTCATTTCCCCAACCCCACAAAACAACAGCGCACGCTGCGCAGGGGAAATATCATCTGAGGCTGTTTTGGCCTTATCTTGCCTCCAGGACAACTGATTCCATGAGCTTCCAAACTGAAGATAGCTGCCCAAACTGCTTCAACTGCTTCCTTGCTGAGGATTCAATGAAACTTTACGGCCTTGTGTGGAGAATCTTACATGCTTCATACACCCATCTTCATGACGGGGGGAGGGAATATGCTCAGTACATGATTTTGGACTATATGTATAATCTATGGAGGCTCCTCACTCCTCCTCAAGAGGAATTTGCTGGTCTCCATCCCGCCAAGGTCTCTTCAAACTCTCTTTTTGACGCTTCCCGAAAGGCATCCAATCATGCCCAGAAGAGCTATGTCCTCGGTGGCCTGCAGCTGCAGACTTAAAAGTTGCATGTTGAGCCAGGGCAGCTACGGGGTGTCCAGAATCTTGAGATTTCCAAATCTGCGCCACTCCCTATACGTCCGTACTTCCAATTTTGATTGGTCAATTGATCACACGTGGCCAGGTGGCGACACGATGAAGTCCTGAACACCTCATTGGTGGCAAGGTCCGGAACGCCCAAGTAACTAAGTACTGTGACACTGCATCTGAGGGGAACACCCAATAGACTGATCTATCCTATTTCCTTGCTTTAGGCTCGATCCCAGGAATGTGACTATTTTTAAAGAATATATATATATATATTGAATAGTAACTATTATAGTCAATTTTTCAAAAAATATATATTTTCAAGAAAAAATCCTAGAAAATAGTCTGATGAAATAAGATATATCTTGTTTTTGGTGACTAACTATTTTCTACAGATTTAACGAGAAGTCCTAGAAAATAGTTAGATTGAAATATATATATTTTTAAGAAATATATATATTTCCTTAAAAATAGTCAAAACTGAAACTTCGACCAAACTTCGACCCCCCCTGTTGTTGCAAAAACTTGACATATGCTAATGTTCACTTCTAGAACACACATCTGATATATTGAAAAGCTAGAACATGGTGGAAACAACGTGCCTCTCATGGTCTCTCGAAACGCCTCTCATGGTTTGGTTCTGAAAATAGCCATATACCAGGAAATGTGTTGCAAAAGTATGAGGAATATGCGGTGACAGAAAAAGAGCAGGGGAATACACAGAACATGTGTCGACAAGGTCAGTTTGCACTAAATATTGGTTAATTATATCAATACACGAAACCTTCTTGCTGCTTTTGTTGATGTCATCCTCTGTCTGCGTCGCAGCAGCCCCTTTTCGTATATAACGTTGGCGCACCTTTGTGGATCAACTATATTCAAAAAGTTGTTACAGCCCAACACACTGCTCTTCAAAAAGGAAATGCAGAGCCAAACGGTAATGGCGGCAAAGCTTGACAGACTGTTGGGGAACTTTGTTGCCCCGAGTGCATGTTTGGGCTATGGACTGCATCTTTTGCATTTGGTCTTCTCCGGCGAACACCCACACAACTCTAGGCGAAATGCATTTTGACATAATGGCCAATTCTTGTACCATATGACACTTGCTCGTAATGTCAAAGTATTTGATGTCCTCCTGTAAGTAATGCTCTGCAATTTGGGTCAGGAGCAAGAGCATCTGAGAGCAAGCCTCTTCAAATCTTTGCGCCTGGGGGGAAACTGAACTCGTCCTTGTACTCGGTAATTGTGTCCTCTAGTTCCACCTCTGGGGGGAGGGTACCTGCCTTCAACATCTTCGCGAACTTTTCACCTTTCGCCTTGTCTCGGGTTTCGCTCATGGCTGCAGACTGCTCTTTGATCTCTCTGACCATCTGGTTGATGGAACTTGCAGGCCTCTTTCTGGGACCTTCTTCTGCGCTAGCTGGGCGTTTCATGGGAGGCATGATGATAAGCGATCACGCGTACTATCTAAGCAAGATTCTTCGCGGAAAAATGATCGACTTGAGCGCTGATGGGAAGAAATCCACAGAGGTCAACAGGTCAAATGTTGAAGAATGAAGTGTCCGCTCATAGGTTCATCACAAGCATTTTTTGAAAAATTCCAACACAAACTCTTTGAATTCCTGAAGGTTTGTAGTAAGGTTTCATTAGTTTTTCTTTTACTACAATGATGACAGGTCGAAGTTTGGTCGAAACTTCGTCGAAGTTTCGACTCGAAGTTTAGTCGAAGTTTGGTCGCAGTGTAGTCGAAGTTTAAGATACAACCTTCAAAACATATGGTATTTACAGTGTTTTGTTAACATTGTACAAAAGTAAACTTCGATAGCAGTTGAAACTTCGACCAAACTTCGAGTCGAAACTTCGACGAAGTTTCGACCAAACTTCGACCCCTGAGTCTTTGGCCTTCCTTCTGTCTCTCATGATCTCTCATGGTTTTTGGTGAAAAAGGTTCTCAAAGTCTCAAACCAGATTCAGAACACAGTTCAGGAACTCGCTCATTGTCGTGGCTTTGGTGCTCCACATCGAAGCGAATCAAATCAATGACGTGTGACAAAGTTTTCTGTTGTTCCTTGTCTGCTCGTCGAAACGCTTGTTCCTTTTTCTCCGGCTGCTGTTTCAAAGCCCTCAAGTGCGAAAGCCCCATCCTGATGAAATCGTCGATGAGGTCAGCAAACTCATCTGTATTCTTTTTGCTGAAGTTGATGCGGTGCTTCTCTTCTAGGCGAATGATGGCCGTCTTGTGTTTCTTTGATGAAATGATTGCATTTGGCGCTACTTTCAGGTAGCCAAGTAATCGGTGTTGAGGTCTTCCACGATGTATTTGGTGGTGGCTGCAAAATGTTTCATCACGTTTTTGTCCCCAGTGGTCTCCAAGAAGGACTCCAGCGGTTCCATCAAGTCACCCACAGTGACACTAGGATCTGCTACTTGTCGAGGTTTGGCTTTACTCAAAGCTCCCGACCTGTTCTTCGACTTGAAATCGAATTGAAACTCTTCACGCTAACACTCCTACGTTTGAGTCACACAAAGAATATCGCAGATAGAAAGGAATACATCAATCGCAAACACTTCAATCGCAAAGTCCACATACATCCCAAAACAATCCCTCAGCATCTCTCACACTCTCTCTCAAGGTTTGCTGGAAAGATCATGCGCTCACTCAAGTATCTCTCAGGGTCTCTTCAAACACATCTCTCAAAAGTCAGTCTCAAGTATCTCTCAAAAATAAAGATCATATACGCAGCTCCTCTCACTCAACTGTCTCTCAAGACCTCTTCAAACATATCTCTCTCAAAAGTCAGTCTCAAGTATCTCTCATAAAAGTAACTCTCAAGTATCTCTCAAAGGTATATCTCCCAAAATGATCTCTCACGAGTATCTCTCAAGTTATCTCTCAAAGTACCTCTCAAGAGCACATCTCTCAGACAAATGACTGACTGCAACAAAGAAACTATTGCTCGGACAGTTCCAAAGAGCATGTATCACAAAAAGCTGCCCAAACACTGATCCAAAGCACTGCAAATCGATACCAAACACCTGTCGAAGTTTGGTCGAAATTTCATTTCTGACTATAACTTAGCCCGTCGAAGTTTGGTCGAAGTTTCGTCGAAACTTCGACCCCTAGAATGGATGGACAACCTAGAAAATAGTGACTATTTTTTAAAAATAGTAACTATTTTGTAGAAAAAATCTATATATTTTTTGAACAAAGGTTACACAAAATAGTTATCTTACAAATAAGATATAAACAAGAAACAATTGTAGACATATAGTCAAACCTGATTTAACTCGAAACAAGGAATATATATATTCCTTAGATAGTTACTATTTTCAAAGAAATAAGCTAGATCAGTCTATTGGGCAACAAAAACGCGAGATCGAACGCCCAGGCGCCCCTTTTTCTCGCTTGAGCCAAAGCGCATCGCAAGTCTGTGTGACCCAAACCCTTAAGGTTCTTGGATAATTCCCCTGCAACTGAGGGTTTCAGTCCTGCTATGCATTAGTGAAACTGGACCTGCTTTCAAGGGTTACCGAATGCTGGAGCACTTCTTCTCCCCCTTCTTACTACGGCATATCCTAACGAGGTGCGGAGCGTGGTCGCTACTCGCGGCTTTGGCGTTGGAAGCCTTAAGAAGTGATACCTAACAGGTTGAGTGCGTGGCTCCATTGACAAGGAGGTAGATTCTTAGTTAAAGGATCAGCTCTTTGCTTGTCAGTGGCGATATACCCTATTGTGGCATCTGGTGACTCGAAGACTTCATACAGCGAACCTAGGTCGAGACGATGTGTTTTCGAGACATGACGCAACTTTGGGCTATACCCGGCTTCTATTATCTGTAGGACGGCAGCGTTGTCCTAGCTGATGGCAGGCAAGCATGGTTGCTCTGCCGAACAACGTGTCACAGAGACTTTGTGCCGGCAAGCCCTCGCTGAACACACCTGACGCGAGTGAGATGGTTTCAGCCTCCGTTGTCGATCTGCTTGTGGCCGTTTGCCGGCGACTAGCCCAACTTATGGGGTAAAAGGAGCTAGGGCCTTCGATGGCCATGAGAATGCCGGAGGTACTCTTAGTATGTTCTATGCCCGAACAATGGTCACTGTCGGTATAGAGGCTTATCTGCAATTGGTCCATTGGATCCTTTATTGACCCCTCAAGTACATAATTTTGTGTTGAGTTCACGTAGGTCATTAGTCTGTGCAAGCGTTTGTCGTCCGCGACCGACCATTGGGTCAAACGTTTAGTCAAATCTCCAATGCTCTTCATTAGGTCTGGTCGACAAAGTCTAGCCATCCACAGAACCTTCATTAGGATCCTGGAAGCGTTATCGGCTAAGGCCCCTTTTGTTTCCCAGTCGGTGTCCAGCAGTGACCCTTCTGGAACATATGGAGTCGATGCTTTTGCAAGTTTCTGCTTTG